CAGGGGGCCAGATCTGGGGAATACGGTGGCTGCGGCATCATTAGTGTGTTGCCAATTTTTGTCACATCTTCTCGGCCTGCTGAGAACATTTTGTACCACCGATAAACGTTGCTTCGGTCCAAGATAGCTTCTCCGTATGCCACAGTCAACATTCTAAATGCATCCGCGCACTTAATTTCGTTTTTCACACAAAATTTGATACAGGTTCTGTGATCCATTTTTTTGAATAGGTAAAAATCGAAGACGATCCAAAACACGTGCACGCAAAGCAGTTGTCAGCAATTAAATGAACATTTAAAATGACCGAGCTTGTCGGCATAAGTGAGAGACATGAGTACGCAACAAAACGCAAAAAAAGTTGGAAATTCGAATATACGTAACCCGCGAAAATTCAAAATTCGCGATACTTTTTGAGCACACCTCGTACTCGCGTTCATTAAAAGCTTGCTATTTGCCGCTTTACCAAATTCGAATGAACTTTTTACAGGTTTATGATGGATTGCGCGGAATATATTGTACATACGATTTATATCTATATATACGTATGTGTKTGCGCTTCCATTTTGATTAAACGGCATATGCTTTTGAATACCACATATGTGCTTCTTATATACCTTTACCTGGAAGGGCTCCTGGACAGCAAAATGAAAAATTTACATCACCTTATTTGCATTTTGTATGAGCACAGCTGAGAGATACCTTAAATTTCGCAGAATTTTAAATTACCTGTTTTATAATTAAATTGTAATAAGGAATATTTTAGCTTGTAAATATATGTATGTATGTATATCTGCATAAATATACTGTCTGTTAGGTTAATTCGAAACGATCGCGATTCGCTGATTCCTCGTTGCTTCTCGCTCAGTTTGCCATAATGAAGCACTACACCATCATGAAAGCAAGTAGGGAAACTCTATGTTCGGATGTCAAAAAACTTTTCTTACACTCATAATTTGGGGGGCAGAAAGGTGGTGTTCCAGTTTTAGTTAAACTTTAACAGTTTCGTTGACACATACTAGATTTAATACATACGATTCCTAGTTAGCTCTAGGCGCGACAGCTTTTGAACCATTAGTTTATAAAATATGGAAATTTGGCAACTTGTGTTAGTTTACKAAAAGTGGATGAATAAAAATTTTTTGTGTTAATAAAGCTTCGCTTTTTGGGAGGAAAATATACTGTTGAAGCCATGGTTTAAATTAATCGACATTATTTGGAATTTCCTTCTTCTTTACTGGCGTAGACACTACTTACGCGATTATAGCCAAGTTAAGAACTCGCCCCAGTCGTTTCTTCTCTTCGCTACGTGGCGCCAATTGGATATTCCAAGCGAAGCTATGTCCTTCTCCACTTGGTCCTTCCAACGGAGTGGAGGTCTTCCTATCCCTCTGCTTACCCCGGCGAGTACTGGGTCAAATACTTTCAGAGCTGGAGTGTGTTCGTCCATTCGCAAGACCTAGCCAGCGAAGCCGCTGTCTTTTAATTCCCTGAACTATGTCAATGTCGTCGCATATCTCGAATTCGATGCGCAAAGAACCATAAATTTTTCGCAGAACCTTTGTCTCGAAAACTCGCAACGTCGAATCATCAGTTGTTGTCATCGTCCAAGCCTCTGCACCATATAGCAAGACGGGAATTATGAGCGACTTAAAGAGGTTGGCTTTTGTTCGTCGRAAGAGGRCTTTACTTTTCAATCGCCTACTCAGTCCGAAGKAGCACCTGTTGGCAAAAGTTACCCTGCGTTGGATTTCCAKGATGACATTGTTGGTGGTGTTTATGCTGGTTYCCAAATATACGAAACTATCTACAACTTCAAAGTTATGACTGTCAACAGTGGTATGCGTCTCGCTTCCCTCTTCAACTCTCGGTATCTAACMCATCCCGCACGTGTTGTGGTCGATCGTAACTTTGCGAGGTTGTCAGCCTGTGACACGGCACTCCTCGTCGTAGCAGCTATTATTTTGCATTTTCCGAAAGCCAATGGTTTCATTAGCAACTGTACGTAAGGAGTTTGAAGTACCGTCTCACAGTTCCCTTATACCTAGTTGTTGACAAATGCTCTCCGAGAGCAGGAGTGCAAGCCGAGTAGAAAATCGTTCRGCTGTCTGTTGTGATTGCAGCTTCTCGACGTCGAACATTTATTGTATTTGTTGACGCGCGCGGGTCCGAATCTTGGCTGCAACAAGATAGTGGTCCGAGTCGATGTTCGGACCTCGGAGCCTACGGACGTCTACAACACTGGAGAYGTGTCTTCCGTCTATCACAACATGATCGATCTGGTTGGTGGTATTTCGCTCCGAAGATAGCCAGGTAGCTTGATGTATTTTCTTGTGCTGGTATCTAGTACCCCGGCGATGTCGATCAGCCTCAACCCATTTGGTAATGTTTGGTCGTGTTTGGTCGTGTTTGGTCGTGGAGGCTGAATTTCGCCAAGAGCGGTTTTGACATCGTGACGGAGGGCAGTTCTCATAAGTGCGCTCCAAGCACTCATAAAAGGCATCTTTGGTCACATCGTCCTTCTCTTCCGTCGGGGCGTGGGCGCAAATCRGCGATATGTTGAAGAACCTCGCTTTGATGCGGATTGTAGCTAGACGTTCATTCACCGGGGTGAATGATAGTACYCGGCGACGGAGTCTCTCTCCCACCACGAATTCCACACCAAACTTGCGCTCCTTTATATGGCCACTGTAGTAAATGCCACAAGGACCTACTCGTCTCAGTCCTTATCCCGTCCAATGCATTTCTTGGACGGCGGTGATGTCGGCCTTTTCTTCACGAAGAAATCAACCAGCTGGGCAGCGGCACCTTCCCAGTTAAGGTATCGGTATTCCAAGTGCATGMCCTCAATTCGTAGTCCTTATATCGTTTGGCATAGTCGGGAGTCATAGTCAGAAGGGAGTCTCTCATCCGAGGTTTGTTGCTTTTATTGAGTTCATTTTTTTTAAGTGGCTACTCTTAAACCCAAAGCACAACGTTATGTAGGGGATGCTTCGCTTTCTCACTTTAGCTCRCCTTCAAACGGATGTTCTTGGGCTACCAAGAGGATACTTACTCAAAGCCCGGAAGTCGTGATATGCTTGAGCCATATGTAAAAGAATCGTTTCTGGTCACTGCCAAGTGAATGACGATCAAAGAACTTTCCTCACTAGTGTAAACTTYTACACATGACTCCAATCTGCACCATGGAAATCAACCGTTGAAAAAGAAATTTTCTATGTTTAAACGAAACGATTTGAGCACCGAGGACGATGAGAACAGTGGACCCCTAAAGAAGCTGTTACCGATGAAAACATCAAATTTGGAGGACCGTAAAGACAAGTTGTTCCAGAGATATTAGCTGAACATGTTCTTCATATCATTTCGCAGTACAATCGATAATCATCTGATGAACAGAACTCCCTACAACACGTGGAAATAACCAAAAGTCTTCTGCAAGATTGTGACGTCTGTATTTTGGGATCGGGACCATCAACAATCATATCCGGTATTTTAATAATTTATATTACAGGTCATAAACTCACGTATTAGATTATAATATGTTATGAGATATTTATTTATATGGCTTCTGTCAAGGTATGTAGTAGTAGATGTACTCTTAGAATCGCTGGAAACTGCAAAGTCGTTGAGCTTGCTAGAAATTGATATCCTTTGCCCTAATTTCATCAAGTTGATAACGAGTCGGTACTCCGATGACCTAGAGTGGACTACGAAYTTTCGCCAGCTTAGCAAGCGTTGATCAGGTCCAAAGTGGAACGCACGAAATTCTTTAAACTACTTGTTTTTGATAAGGGTAATCTCGCCGCCTTGGCAGACGTTCTGACTGCCAGACGCTCTAGGTGCAAACTTACTGCTGCTGGACGMTTTAGCTTTAGTAATTTGTTAGATATGAACTTTTAAGTTCAGTAGTTCGATTTCAGGACTGACTTTATCAGTTCATAGGTTTGAGTTGAAAAGGACGTAGTTGTGAAACATTTTGAAATTATATTAGTCGGCATCTGTTTTSTTTTACCTGTTACCATACCCAAAATAATTTTAATTATTTAGAGGTAACAAACTCAAACCTACATAGCTGCATAAGGGAAGGAGGTATGTTCAAGATATCGAAAACGGTTTTAAGGTCGAAAAATGTAACTTATTCGATAATTCTAGGACACCGTTTATTGTACTTAACACTCGGTCTTATCAAAATCAATTGTTGAAATCTATTTAGTCACAATCTTCGTCAAATACTAGTAGAGTCTCAGCTCTATATATTGGAGTAGCAATTCTTTTCTAAATGGATTATGTTTAAACTGTGACCATTAAATTGATTAGTGGGTGCATTTCCTTATGTCGAAATTTTTTCTTTGACCGAACCACATTTCGGGCTCAGTTATATTCAAAGGCGTCGTTCAACAATTTTCGACGGCCGCGAAAATGTGATTCGACTCCTATTTTAATACTTACGTAAGTAAGCATGAGACCACGCTCTCTACTACGAGTACTCTGAAATTTCGAAATCATTTGAAATTGTTTGGATTAACCGCAAGATATATTTGGAACAGTGTATAAGCCTAATTGCTAACAGCCTTCGTAGTCAAAATAATCATTGTTCCTCTCGTTGTCCAATAATTTATATTTAAAGGTTGGTTTGAATACCTGGACTGACTGGATTAATCAGCCGACCAAAAAAAATTTATAACTGAGTGGAAAAATACCTTCTTTTATCAGCAAACCAGTTCGTAGGAGCTTTTGGGATAGTTAAGGTTTACAAACACTTATTTTACTCTGGTCAGTTTAATTTTATGCCTCGTAGCACTGAAACTGAAGCCTAGCCATTTGGGCTGTATATAAGAAGWTATGATAAGATTTTAAATTAGATTAAGAAAACCATTTCTTCTAGAGTTAAATCTATAAATATTCATTATAAAAACTTTGAATCTAAAAAATGTATAAATAATCAAATCATCAAAATCTTCCGAATGTTTATTTTAAATAATTTTTTTTTAATAAACTCACAGGCCTTTCGGATACCAAACTCCACGAAGTCTATCTTGACAACTCTGAGATAAAGCTAAGTTGGATGGTGGATTGGTATAAACAGGAGGTGCTCTTTCATCTACAAAATGCCTTTAACGAAAATCATCGCTGGTTCTATTTGGGCTTTTCGAAGCGTGGCGACGTGGGCGATGCAGACATCTGTTTCTTTGAGAATCAAAATGGATTTTTCAACATTGTCACCGACACGTATACCAGTCCAGATGGTAAATTTGTGCAAAAAGACTATCAACAAGATTGCGAACTTTTCAAAATGGATGAATACACGTTGGCATTTAAGCGAAAATTCGACACCTGCGATCCRCTGGACTTGAGGATGCATGTAAGTGTTGTTGCGTTAAACATTGCGTTTATAATTATGTGTAGTTGGCTGTGTGAGGTATTATGTTTGGAATTTTGCCCGTTTACTTCAAATCTTCATAAGTACCTTAATGAGTTTATAACAAAATTTTACAGCTGTGTTTATGTTGAGAGTGTTTGTTCACACTGATTCGARAATTGTTTGTCAAAATAAAGTGAAAAGAAATTCCAAGATGTTGATGATGATTGGAAAAAAAGTGGCCACGGATTGGGTATGCCAGGGTCAGGTGTGGAGAGATAAGAGTTTAACTTTCTGAAACATCTACACCATAATTGCGGAAATATTAAATTAAAAGTATTAAGTAAAGGGAGGCAGTTGCTGCCCTACGATAGGTRTTGATGCGGCTGCCAGAATATCATTAATGTGAACAGAGTTAGAAAAGGTGTTRAAAACTTCGACATGAATGATATTAAAAACTTTTGGAGAAGTTATAGGGGTTATGTCTATGAAAACAACTAATCGCAAAACGACGTAAACTTGATAAGATCTCCGACGATACTTTCTGGGTGTTTGAGTATTCCTAGGAAACTTACAATAATATACCCCATTAAGGGTATACGCATATTGTGTAAGAATTTAGCAATATTTATTCGATRCATGAAACCAATGGATTACAATCAAATATATTGTCTTATTATCTTATGTATGACAGTTATAGGTAGTTTCATTGCAACATTTTGTTCGGTGTCTGAAATATTTATACCAAAATTAATGATATGTATGTGTTACCATCTAATCAAATTTTATCCGGAACTTTCCATACACTTGTTATAAGCCAGAACAAAAAAAGGTTTAAAATTGGATATGATTATATTAGAGATATGAGGTTTGGATCAAGCTCTGGATCAAATTTATTCGTAATAAGCGCTGAAACGCATTATGGCTAAACAACCCCCACTCTATTTCATTAAAATATCAGGCTTATTGCCCAACATAAACTGTTTATCTTCAGATGGAAAGTCAAAAGAGATGAAATTCACAATACGAATCGACGAACCACGTACATGACGGCCATCAAGATCAACTGATGATCAATACGTCAATAAAATAAAGGAATTGGTTCCTGAGAATCCACGATTATCAGTCATAGATCTTAGAGATCTAAGTGAAAACCATTTTTAAAGTTCATTTGGGCCTAAGATACGTGAAAACACGATTGTTTCCAAAATCGCTCAATTTTTTCGAAAAACAACGTCGCGTTAACGTCTGTGAAACAATGCTTTCCGACTACCAGGGTGTCATGAAACCTATTATTACTGCCGACTAGTCATGAATATTTGTTTACGCTGCGATTGATCAAGCAGAATATCTTGGAAAAGATGAGAAGAAGCCGAAAACACCTAAAAGTAGGTCGCAAATCAACTTCTTGTTGACAGTTTTCTTCGTTTATCGAGGTGTGGTGTAGTCTGCATTCACTCGGACCGGCCAAACTGTCAACAAGGAATGCTTTTCGAGTATTATACGTTGTTTGCCGAAGCTATTCGTAAAAATAATTGTGGTGAACGGGATTACTTTTAGGGGGACGACATATATTTTGAAGAATAAATAAATAATTTTAAAATTGTGAACAAAGTCTTACTATTATTTTCTTATAGTAGTAACTCACACACACTGTCCACATGGCATGGCATGGTGGCTGGGGACTTGATTTTCCTTATTTTCACTGTCATTGTTCAGTATTTAATTAAGAACAATTCTGCAAAATTAAAAAATTTAAGAAGTAGTTGGCATGTATCCTTATTTCACAATATATCATAAGAATAGAGAAATAATGTTACGCAACAAATTTGGTTGATATTTTTGGGATAGATGCTGAGGTACAGGATTTCAGCTAAAGATTATATACCATATATTTTTATTTTATATCGCACTATCTTTACAGGAGGGTACAATGTACATTATGTGGGCCAGGGGTGAAAGTCGCTTGGCACTGGAAGATTATCAGTTTCCCTTTCCCAATGTTTCCTCACATGAATCTGGCATTAAGATGATGCAATTACTTCGCGCAGATAAAATTCTCATACCAGAAACGTAAGTATTTCCTACTCACTTAACACTTGATAAATACATAGTTATTACATTTTCCTTCAGCAATTTGAAAACCATTCAAGTCACACTCAAAAATGTGACCGTACCAACAAAGGAGACAACCTACTGGTGTCGCATACAAAAACTGGACGAATCRTTTGCGACGAAACAGCATATAGTGCAATTCGAGCCTCTCATTACCTCTCCCGATTTGGTGCATCATCTGGAAGTTTTTCATTGCGAAACCGATCCACAAGCAGAAATTCCGTTATACAATGGAGACTGTGAGAAAATGCCGGCAGAAGCTAAAGTGTGCTCCAAAGTYATATCACTGTGGGCTATGGGCGCTAGCACGTTCACGTATCCACCAGAAACTGGCTTACCAGTAGGAGGCAAGGACTATAATCCSTTCGTGCGCCTAGAAGTGCATTTTAACAATCCCGAATTGAAAGCAGGTACATGTGCTGGAACGACTTTCAGTTGTCTAAATATCATTTTCTTTTACTAATTGTTATATTTCTTATATTTAATAGGTCGCATTGATAGCTCAGGCATGAGAATAAAGTTGGCTTCGAAGCTAAGACAGTTCGATGCGGGCGTAATGGAGTTGGGCTTGGAGTATACCGATAAGATGGCTATTCCACCTGGTCAAGTGGGCTTCCCGCTAAGTGGTTATTGCATCGCCGAGTGCACTGAAGTAGTGAGTTCTTATCCTCAGTCTTAAATTGAGAAATTACCCAAGAATCATTTTTACTTTTTTAATCGTCTCTCCRATTTGTATAGGCACTCCCGTCCAGTGGCATTATCATATTTGGTTCTCAACTGCACACACATCTTCGTGGCGTTCGTATTCTGACACGTCATTTTCGCGATAACGAGGAACTGCGCGAAGTCAATCGGGATGACTATTACTCGCATCATTTTCAAGAAATGCGTAACCTGCATTATAAACCTCGTGTGCTACCGGTAGGATACTGCTATTGTAATTTTTAAACAATTTAAATTWTCGGCATCCGTTTTGTAGGGTGACGCTTTGGTCACAACTTGCTATTATAATACTGTGGGCTATGAAAATGCAACACTGGGCGGTTTTTCAATCAGCGATGAGATGTGTGTCAACTATATTCACTATTATCCGGCTACCAAGTTGGAGGTTTGCAAGAGTTCTGTCTCCGAAGACACGCTGGAAACTTATTTCATTTATATGAAAAAGTAAGTAAAATGGTTTAGGAAGATGGGAAGTCTAAAGATGATGTGAGTATTTATAAATATAAAGTTGAACAGTTTATTTTGAGGGATTTCAACTTCATAACTRCTCATTAAGTGTAACCTTCCAATGATGAAAATGGAAAAAGCAATATAGGTATCAATCAATCGAAAATTTGTACTGYCTTTCTCCTCCTTCTTTGCTCGAGAAGAGTTTAGTTTTTAAGGCTAGTTAGATCGAATCCATAACGGCCAAACATTTTTAATGCATGTTTATTCAAAAACTGTTGTAAAGAGTATCAGGCTTAGGTCATTGTCGAAAGTGTTATCCATTAGCCCACAAATTTCTTTCTGGCCACTCTTAGTTCGCCAAGGAAAAACTTTGCCGCCGAGATCGAGCTTTTCCAAAATGAGACAATCCTGATCCGTTTCAATAATAAGTTTTTCAATAAGACTTCAAGTATAAATYGGCCGACACTGCTGCAATTTCACGTTCGATATTTCATACGAAGTTCATCAATCGTCGCTARCTTATKGGCATAGGCCATAGACTTGACGCAGGACCACAGGAACGGCGTCAAATCGTACGACCGAGACGGCCAATTGACTGGGCCATTTCGTGAGATAACACGTTCACCAAATTTGGTTTTCAATAAAGCGATTGTGACATTCGCAGTGCGGCTTGTGGCGGCGTCCTGTTGGAACCACATATTATCGAAGTTCATATCCAATTCGAGCCAAACATATTCGGTTATCATTAAGTGGTAGCGATTCTCATCCACAGTAACGTGCCGGTCTTGATCATCACGGAAGAAGTATGSCCCAATGACGCCGCCMCAAACCGTAATTTTTTCGCGATGGTGACTCTTGAAGTACGTGTGTATTGCAGCCAATAATCGATATTTTGCTCATTGACGAAGCCATTCATCCAGAAATAGGCCCCATTGCTGAAGATTATTTTTCGATGAAATTCCGGATCATTTTCAAATTGTTCAGCCCAATTCACGAACATGCGACGATTCTGGTGTTTAAGCTTCAGTTCGTCAATTTCATCTTGTAACGATATAGGCCAGGATCTTATCGAAAAATTCGTCACAACTACGTCACAAAGATGTTCAACGCTTGAGAACGACGTGAGAAAGACTAATTTGGGTCCTCTTCAATTAACGCACTGACGGCTACAATATTCAATATACTGCGGCACTTTTTTGTCTCACTGTGATGGGAAAATTTTGTACTATGGATGTGGATTAAAMTTTTTCCACSAKACGCTCAATTGTTGAGGCCAATGACTCCGAATTTCGCAAGTAAATTTTAATAATTATATCTTTCCATGATGAAATGSCAAACTTTACTAAAGAGAAATGTCGAAAGGGAAAGGAAAAAAATATGATGTCTTTTCCTGTCCATATCGGTCTACTTTTGTAGCGTCCCTATTGAAAAACCCCAATCTCACAGAGCTTCTGGCAACTTCCACTAGATGTGTTTGGCCTGTCTTTATTCTGATGGATCACAATTTCTCTCATAACAGTCAAAGCTGGCCACTTTTGGGGACTTCTTATTTCAGACGACCCTGTTATTAAAACAGGTGTGACTTATAAGTTCCGAGAGAGCAGCCCATTGTAGTTGATTCTCATTTTTCAGCATCAGTAACCATCCGTTCACCGGTGGAAATTCGCCCATGAAGTTTTTTGCCGTGTAAACAGACGATATTGTGCCATGTTTAGCCTTTGGCAATCAAACTGGTATTTATGCCATGGTCGGATCTAAGGATTTTCATTTTTTTATAGATATTATCCACAACTGGTCTTCCTTGAAGTATCTTTGACATTAAATCGACAAAGACAAATATGCTCATGATTTAGTCCTGCAGCATCAGGACAATAAACAATATGGATATTTTCTGCCATTAGCTCAGCTTAGCTTAAGTTTTTGCCTTTATGGGATATTTTCTCTTTGCTGGTGCCATCTTTAAAGCCTGTTCATACAATGCTGAGTCAAGCAATCACAAAACTGTCTGAATACGAAAACTTAGTAACTTTACAATTCCATATTGCGTAACCCAATATTACCTCTACAACAACAGATACAGATAACTAAACCCCATTGGGAAGCTAAAGTATTTCTTTTTACTAGACCGAATATTTAAACCACGGTTTAAGTGCCTTACTCAGAGACAGTTTCAGTATTTGACTTATATATGTATATCTGAATAACTGAATATTTTATTATACTTTAGGAAAGAACATCAACGCGGCATAAGACTAAGTGGAGCACGTTCGAAGAATTATCGCAGCATCAAATGGACCGAACCACGTGTGGATCAACTTTATACCATGTACATACAGGAACCACTCAGCATGCAGTGCAACAAATCGGATGGTTATCGCTTCGAGGGCTACAATTGGGAGGGAGCACCAGTGACGCCAGTGGCAATCAAAATACCCATGCACAGCAAACTATGTCCCAACTACAACCCGTTATGGTTGAAACCACTGGAAAAGGGTGCGTGCGACTTACTGGGCGAATGTATCTATTAAAACTTCAACATGTTGCAGGCGTAACGGCGTTCTTCATAGTTCATACCTATAACATTTGAAAGTGAAATATTTAATGGACGGAAATTTGAGAAAAATGTAAACTTTTAAATACAATGAGCAGTACAGCTGCCGCGCAAAAGCTTTATGGAGTAAACCAGAAATTTTAGACTAGATTGTATTACAAAAAACAAAACAAAAAAAAAAAAAACCATGAAGATCTTATGCATGTATGTAGATAGCGAAAAGAATAGAATATTTGAGGCGTAGTGGAGCGCGGCATTAGAAATATAACACCTATGTATTTGAAAAAAGAGAAATTTTTGTAGATAAACGCCCAAACAACTGAAAAGATTTACGATCTCCAGATCGTTTTGAAGCAGAAGGAATAGAAAGCGTCTCAAATAAAATATTTTATAGTTGTTACAAAAGATTTGAGTTTTACTATATGATTGCGTGTATTGACAGCAGAATTAACCCTTCAGGAATTAAGCCAGATTTGCTGAATTTATGCTGAATACAAACAAACAAGTAATTGATTCTTAAGCACGCTTCCATAGAACGTTCCAAACACTAGATTCCAGCCAGGTGATCAAGGTGACCAAATAAATATTTTGGCATTGTTATATATGTAGTTGCAAACGACATATTTAGAAAATGTAAATACGTACATACAAACATATATATTTATGTACTTAAAACTGCAATTCATATTTACCGTTAATGTCATGCGGCAAGTAGAAGTGCACTCAGTATTATTATGAAACCCAAAAATCATTGCATGTATAATTTAAATCATACCACTCACAAAACTAACTGTATATGTAGCTATGTAAAATCACCAATGACAAATACATATATATATATATATATATTTTATGTATTGTACATACAAGATATATACACATACATATACATGCACTAGGAACATAATTATTTTAGACGTATATAAGATGTGATAATAATATTGTATACATAAATGCATATAAATAATATACACTTACATACATATAAACATTAAAGAGAAGCGAAATGTAAGTAAATGAACTACAATTTAGWATTAAATGGATCACCATACCAGCAGCAACATTTCTTGTTTTATTTCAATCAAAAATGACACCAAAGGTAAGGCAGATTCTTCGTCTTCTTTACTGCCGAGTTAACAACAGCGCGGCAGTTGTTTMTACTTTTCGCAAGATGACGCCAATTGGAGCTTCCATGCGAAGCCAGGTCCTTCTCCAGCTGGTCTATGCAACGGAGTGGAGGTCTTCCTCTTTCTCTGCTTCTTCCGGCGCGCAGTGCGTCGACTACTTTCAGAATTGGAGTGTTTTGGAACGACATGACCTCAATGTCATCGTATATCGAATGCGGTACTCACCGTGCCCAATGCGCAAAGATCTTTCGAAGAATCTTTCTCTCGAAAGCTCGTAACGTCGACTCATCAGATGTTGCCATCATCCATGCCTTTGCACCATATAGGAGAGAGGACTTCACTTCTCCATTTCCTAGTCAGTCCAAAGTATCACCTAATGGCAAGAGTTATTCTGCGGTGGAATTCAAAGCTGATATTGTTCGTTGTGTTGATGATACTGCTTCCAAGATAGACATAATAATCTAYGATTTCAAAGTTATGRCTGTCAACAGTGATRTGAGARCCAAGTCACGATTGCGACGACTGTCTGTTTGATGGCAGGAGATATTTCGTCTTGCCTTCGTTTACTACCAGATACATTTGCTTTGCTGCCTTATCCAGTCTGGAGAAAGCAGAACTAACGGCTCGGATGTTGAGGTCATTAATATCAATATCATCGGCGTACGCCAGCAGCTGTACACTCTTATAGAAGATTGTACCTGCTCGATAAAGCTYTGTAGCTCGAATTATTTTATCCAGCAGTAGATTGAAGAAGTTGCACAATAGRGAGTCGCCTTGTCTGAAACCGTCTTTGGTATTGAACGGCTCGGAGAGGTTCCTCCAGATCCTAACGGAGCATATTTTACAAAGAAGCTGATGCATGCTATTTAACAGTTCTTTGCCGCCTTGTTTGTATCAAGTATTCTAAAACCTACTTATATGGTGTAATATGAACATCAGCAACTCAAGCGAATGATTCGTTTGCCACTACTGTAAATAGCTAGAATTACCGTGCGATCCTGTACTGTGATACAGTCTCAAGTCTCTAAATTGGAGATTTTAAGTTAGAGACAATTTTTGAGGCTTGAGACGATTTTGCTATTCTCTAAGTGACAGTCACAAAATCTATTACATTTAATAATTCAGAGATGCTTTTAAACTTGAATGAAAATAAATATGTCGATAACAAAAATTCAATTTTCTATAACATAGTTAAAAAACATAATTATCAATCAAAATAAAAATATATGTTGACTTTGTTTCATAATATTTTCGAAATTTTTTTAAAATTGATTTGTTTTTAATCTTTTTGTCTCTGAGTTGCTTACAAAATACAAAAAAATTACAATCGATTAATATCTATGATGATCTCTATTCAGTATATTCAAAATGGCAGACAAGAGTTCTTTTTGGTTTTGTGACTTGCTAACTACCAGGTCTCAAATTTGAGGCAATATTTTGAGGCTAAAGCTAGAGACYGTTTAGTRAATARTAACTAGTTATAAATTGAGACTTTACCTCAAAACGTTTCAAATAGAGACTGGTTACAGAATCCCGCTATTAGACTCATAACCCAGATCTCTWTGCTTTTATTATATATTGCCTGTATAAAAAAGACAACACCAAAATACATAATGCGTATATTAATAATTAATTTTTTTTTTTTTCGATTTGTAAAATTGACTGTTTGTATATAATACATAATATTTACACTTTGAAATGAAAGCGTGTATTTTATTTTCCCCCTTGGGAAGCGTTCCGATGTTATTCAGTCGTATCGATAATGCATAATTTCATTAGCACAGGGTGATCATAGTTACGGGAAAAATGGCTAGAAAAAACTTTATTCTTACTACCATGCAACAACTCTTACTAAGTCACGGTGCTAGGCTTTTGAGGTGTTTTCTTAAGTTATCAAATTATAATCCAAATTTCCTCCAATTTGCATGTACAAATTTACGATTAGTTCCGTTATTACTAAATTATTTCGAATGCTAAAGAATACTTCTTGCAACCCTGTTATCGGCTATATTCTCATTTCTCTTTCGTTTGGTCTGGCATTTTCGAAGTTAATCTTCGAAGTCCATTGCGAAACTTCCATTTACCTGATTTGTGAAATTGTCAGCAGAACATCAAAGATTCGGTAATTACGTGCGAAAACTTCATAATTTAATTGCATTTAAACAACAGAAAATGTTAATTTATTGGACTATCGACATTCGACTTACGTGCAGTGCAAGTTTAAACTAACATTTTGGGTGCATTTTTGGTCTTCTAATTACAGACGACAACCAAGGCTTCGCGTGCGTGACACGACGTGGAATTTTTTAGTTCCTTTTAATTTTTTGGAAATTATTTTCGCCAGTGAGGGCAGAATTCATGTAAAAAGTACCTGATACTGAGCACACAAGCGGGTTTTGTGGCCAATTTTGGCCGGAGGGATAACAGCAAACGCCGCGTGTACTGAGTATACGGATTTTTTGGAATAGTAGGCGGCGACGGGGAACCGTGTAGATAAGTGATTTAGATATTGGCAATCGTAGTATACGCGCAGATAGAGAAACTACGCAAGAGAAGAAATCAAAAGCAGACGTGAAAGTGACGAAGCATTAGAAGTACAAGAGAGGTCCAGGCTAAGTTAGTAAAAGAAAACTTGAAACTACAGAAGAAAAAGCGTCTAGTGCCGTTTTGTATTTGTAATTCTGACAAGCCAAGCAACAAGGCAGTGTTAGCCTATTGTAACGCTAAAAACGTGGTTTTGGTATTTGAATACTTGGATATGTCGGCAAATCCACAACCGCCCATATCACAAATTTGGCAAGGAGGTTTTGGCAGTGGTTTAAGTGCTTTAATGACAAATGGTACTGAACAACAACACCAAACCCAGCAAAGTACCCAGCAAAATAGTAATAATTTTCATAACTCTACAATGAATAGAAACAATAACAACATTGCACAAGTCAGTGAAGCTTCAGAAGGAACAAATAATTACGTTAATTTTACCCAGTTCATCATGCAGCACAATTTTTTGGGTAACAACAATGGTTTTGGACTTTCTGGAGATGGGGGTAGTGGCGAAAGTGTAAACCAAGCTAACGGCAATGAAAATGGTGCAGTTGGTGGTGCAACAAATACAGTCGCCACACAAGTTAACGGAGGCGGTGGCGTTCACGGTCAAATTGGGGCCACTAATGATTATTTTAATTTCGTCGATGCAATGAATCATAAAGCGAGTAATGATTCTGGTGGTGATAAGCAAATTCCGGAGCACATGCCACAGCAAGCAAATGTAAGTAAAAACATACATATGTGTGTACTGTATATAGCAAAGTTGTTCGGCAAATGAATGCGAGCGAATACAAATAGCAAACATACTATATTCTTAAGACAAATAAGAGTGATAAATACTCTTACAAAGAATAAAGTTATTTTTTTTTTTGTATTTTGTGTTTATAAATAAGATATTCCAAAATTTAAAACATACAAAATTCTCAAAATCGGTATGAATCATCTTTATTTGCTTCAAAACTAAGCGAATTGATAAAATACAATGTCACTTGTCAATTTTAATTTTGAACTGCTTTGTAATTAATTTTGTTATATTTTTCTTTCGCCGGCCGTGGTTTTAATCTAACTTTGTTTTCTTCAGCTTTATTCCAACAGCCTGTTTTCCCCATTCAACAATTTTAGTAGCTTATATTCAAGTAGCGGTCAAAACGCCAGCGGCGGTTACAACACATACAATGACACAAATACAAGTGTTGGTTATTTTGACAATGTTTACACACCCTTTGGCAATAGCGGCGGCTATTATATGAATCCTTTTGCCACTGGTTTCGATTTTAGTGCTTCGAACTTGCAAGCTTCAGCACCTGAATTTGTGCCACGATTCAATAATCTCAGTTTGAATGAAGAAAATCGAGAGCATAACAAGCAAAACGATTATGAAACAGCAAGTAACGTCACTAGGGTTGATCAAAATAAWTTTCAAAYCGGCGAGCAGAAAGTACAAGGCATAACAAATAATGATAATAATCTTTTGAATGGTGTTAACAACGGCGCAATTTCCACTGTACCGGGTGATCGTAGTGGTGTTGACAACAACGTTTCACTAACTGCAACAAASAACAATACMGCAACGAACGGAGTAAACGTTGACACCGCAGCAGCCATTACTTCAAAGGCAGCACAACGACAAGATAATGTTAGCACAAAAAGTGATATTGGTCAAGGAATTTATGGCACTAAGAGCCAAAATAATGGTGGCCACGTAACAGTTCATCCCAACATGTTTAATCCTAATGTGACTGGTACAATATCCTCAAGCGGTGGAGGCGCAGTATCGCGTTATACCGGGACAACAAATAAACAACAATCATCGGGCGGCAGTATCTCGAGAGGTTCGTCATCAAATGGTTTTTCCCGTAATCGTAATGACTATTCCGGTTCACCACACAACCATGAACGTAATGGTAATGGCAGCGGTGGTATTGGTGGCAATAAGCACAACAATGACATCATAGATAAGTCGGAGAAACCTTCAGCTCGCGCTGAGCGTGAGCGTGAACGCGATCGAGATGCTCGTCGTTATCARAACGGGCGTCGCTCTGTTGACTACCATCGCAGCAATAAGCGTCGCGATGATTGGAATCGCAATCGCGATCGTATAAATGGTTTTCGTGTAGAAGAGAAATACTCAACAGATAATGGCAAAGATAGCCCATTACCTTCACCAGAAAAGGTAAACATTTGTTAATTAGCTACTAACACAATTTTTCTCTTTTGCTTACAAAACGGAAAAAAGAATTATCATAAAATCAAGAAGAAACTTTAACTWYGCTTTCACCGAAGCTAGAATTACTTTCACAAATAAAAACGTTTTTCTACAGGAATCGAATTTAATCGATAAGTTTGTCAGCTATATGGCTGATCTGAACAATAATTTCGGATATTGTAACGTTRTGTTCGTGAGTGATTTATTCCAAATTATGTGAACATATAGTGTCAATAAAAAGTTTTGGTTTCATTTTGATTGTTTGTATAGCAGCTATACGCTATAGWTGACCGATATCGRTGGTTCCGACAAATGAGCAGATATTTGGGGATAAAAGTATGTGTGCACACTTTCAGAACGATATCTCAAAAACTCGTCACTCTGATAATTTAGATAAACGTTTTATAGGGTCGTAGCAAACTATATACCCTATCCAGAGTATAAATATATTTGACATTTATTTAGTATTTCTTATCTTTGTCTTTTGGCTAAATATTCTCAATTTTTCAGAAGTCTTCACCGAAGAAAGTGTATCCGGAGAATGAGAAACTATCGCAGCGTGAAAAACTCATACGCGATATTGAGACGAGACGTTTGGAGTGTTTGGTTTGCGTTGAACCCATCAAAGCTCATCATGGCGTCTGGTCGTGTAATAATTGCTATCACATACTTCATTTGCAGTGTATCATTAAGTGGGCTTCATCATCGAAATCGGAGGATGGCTGGCGTTGCCCTGCATGTCAGAATGTAGTCAAGGATGTGCCACGTGACTATTACTGTTTCTGTGGTAAGGTGAAAAATCCACCATATACGCGTCATGACATCGCTCATACATGTGGAGACACCTGTGGACGCATTGAAGGTTGTACGCACGCCTGTACCCTTCTCTGTCATCCMGGGCCATGTCCTCCGTGTCAGGCTACAGTGAAACGTGAATGTGGCTGCGGCAAGACAACCAAAACAATGCAGTGCTGTCTCAAAGAACCAATTGAATGCGAATCCATTTGTGGTAAGCAAYTGAACTGTGAAGTGCACAAATGCCCGGCTAAGTGTCACGATGGCAAGTGCGCTCCATGCGCTGAGAAGGTGGATCAACAGTGCCACTGCACCAAACAGGAGCGTCAAGTTGCKTGCACACGCGACTCCCATGAYAAGCACAACTACTCTTGCGGCAAACAATGTGGCAAGGATTTAGTCTGTGGTAATCACAAGTGCAAAGATTGCTGTCATCCCGGCGAGTGTCGCACATGCAAGCTTAGTCCCGAAGTGGTCACCTCGTGTCCTTGCGGTAAAATGCCCATAGTCACCGGCCAGAGAATGTCCTGTTTGGACGCAATACCAGTATGTGAGGGCGTATGCGGCAAGACTTTACGCTGCGGCAAGCCAGCACATCCTCATCATTGCACGAGCAAATGTCATCTGGGTAATTGTCCACCATGCAACAAGCAGACCGCCGTCAAATGCCGCTGCGGTCACATGGATCAGCTAATCAAGTGCCGTCAACTATCGACACGCGCCGACGATGCACGTTGCAAGAAGCGCTGCGTAAAGAAACGCTCTTGTGGTAAACACAAATGCAACCAGGAATGCTGTATCGACATCGATCACATCTGCCCAATGCCTTGCAACTATACGCTGTCGTGCGGTAAACACAAATGCGATCAACCCTGCCACCGCGGCAACTGTCCGCCTTGTTATCGTAGCTCCTTCGAGGAGCTGTACTGTGAATGTGGTGCCGAAGTCATCTATCCGCCAGTGCCTTGCGGCACCAAGAAGCCAGCCTGCAAGCGCCCTTGCTCACGCACGCATCCTTGTCARCATCCACCACAGCACAACTGTCACTCAGCTGCCAATTGCCCACCGTGCATGATGTTCACCACAAAATGGTGCTTTGGCCAGCATGAGCAACGCAAGACCATTCCGTGCTCGCAAGAGAGTTTCAGTTGTGGCTTGGCATGTGGCAAGGCATTGCCATGTGGTCGCCACAAGTGCATCAAAACATGCCACGAGGGTGCATGCCAGGCTGCCGGYGAGGTGTGTAAACAACATTGTACCAAGTCGCGTACCACTTGTGGCCACAAATGCATGTCGCCATGCCACGACGGTGATTGCCCGGATACACCATGCAAGGAAATGGTAAGTDTGATTATTAAADCAATAAAGCACATTTCTATAACTYTCTTTGTCTTTCGTGTAGGTTGAAGTCCAATGTGAATGYGGCAACCGTAAGCAGATGCGTTTATGCCACGATTTGGCACGTGAATTTAGTCGCATTGCCACCGCCCAACTGGCCTCGTCAATGGCCGAAATGCAGCGCGGCAATTACATGGAACTGAGCGAAATACTCGCTCCAGTTAAAATCAATAAGACAAATAAAACGTAAGTAAATGAAAGTTCAATTAGGGTCATGTGTATTATTGAGGACATTGATTTATGTATAAATRGTTAAGATTAACTGAAAGGGTAAGAAAAGAGGATGTACTGCACGACTTTTTGAAAACTTTATGAAAACATGCTGACAATGGACAACAGACATATCTGTTGTTATTGGGTCGGATGTCAATCAAATTATTTGACAACGATCCTTGCATTCGCAATGTCAAATTTCTAAATTCAGCAAAATATACAAGTTGTTTCACGGYCCGGTATTTTTTCCCTACTGCTGCTTACTTTTTCTACTTAGAAACTCTGAACTGAGCGGTAAAAATGATTTCTTATCTGCACACAATAATGTTAGGTGTTAACATTAAAGTAAAATGTGTGTGAAATATAAATTTTTTAATCTCAAATCGGAAAGCAAATTTAATATACAAGTTTTGAATAAAAATTTCACAAGCCTGSTTACAATGCACCAATATTTGTATTACAATATCTTTTTTATGTTTTTCTTTTATTTTCTATATTTTCAAACACAGACTGGATTGCAATGAAGAGTGCCGTTTGCTCGAACGCAATCGTCGCCTAGCTATTGGCCTGCAAATCCGCAACCCCGATGTGCCGCAGAAATTACAAACCAAATATTCTGATTTCATACGAAATTGTGCTAAACGTGACCCCACTTTGGTCAAGTCCATACATGATGCTCTAACCACGTTGGTGAAGCTCGCCAAGGAAAGCAAGCAGAAATCACGTAGTCATTCGTTCCCGACAATGAATCGAGAAAAGCGGCAGCTGGTGCATGAAATGTGCGAAATGTTCGGTGTCGAATCGGTTGCCTACGACGCAGAACCCAATCGCAACGTAGTAGCTACTGCTTACAAAGACAGGGTGAGTGTGATGATTAATATTTATTATTTTTTATGCTTGAAGTCAACTAAAATTTACACAATTTTTTTTCACCTATTCAGTCCTGGTTGCCGGCCACCAGCATTATGGAAGTTATGCAGCGCGAATCCGGTCAGCGTCGTGTGCCGGTACCGAGCAACAATGCCTGGGGCATTAAGAGATAGAATTTTTTCCTATTAACAAATGTGTAGTGAATGCGTATGCAACAAGTGTAACGTTGAATAAATCGTTTGAATGTATGCTGAAATACACTAAACAAATACAAAATATTAAAAATAAAAAATAAAGATACAACATACAGAGAAAAAAATTAGACATTTATCAAAAAAAAAAAAAAGGAACATTGAAAACGTAAATATTCTATTCTAAAATTACAACATAACAATTTAAACATAAACAAAAAAGGCTGCACTAAACATACAAAATGCAAAATACCACTTTAAATTGTTTATGCATCAAAGTTTAAAATCAATGAAAAAAAAAAAACAAGAAATAATTCACAATTAAATGTATGTCTATCTAATTTGCTCRTTATATATTTCCAAAAGAAAAGAAAGAAAATATATTTTGAACTACTATCGTACCCTTAATTTTTTGCGTTACTATCTGGCAATTATCTCAATTATAATTTTGCTTCTAGAAACTTGCACATGGATATCTTCTTATAATTTTCTCTTTATTTACATTAAAATCATTAATAACATTAATTTTATTTTGAGTATAATCACTACTTTTATTTACGAGACAATACTACATTACAAAATACATACATATACATCAAATACATAAAATACGGTGGAAGTTGAATGTGAGTTAATAATAAAAAATTCTTCAGCGAAATACTTGTGAAAGATTTGTACACAAAACAAAACAAAAAGAAMTAAATATGAGTAAATTGTGAATGAATCGGCCGTATGAATCCATAATATATTCCTGAATGTAATGAGAAATCAAATTGAATAAAGTTGTTTATTAATATGTATGAATTGCGAACATAATAAAGGAAATGCGTTTTATTTTTGCATTCTCCATATCGTGGAGTTAAATTTGCAGCTTTTGGACAAGAGGGTCAGAAAGATTTGGCGTTTTGTCAGAGTTGTATCAAATTACAATTGAATTAACGTATACTAGAATATTACTGAATACTAGATTCAAAAATTTCCAAATCTCAATTTCAAACCTCACAAATACAAAATATTTCTTACCGTTGGTGTGGACAATAATCCATAACATACATATGTATAGCTTATAAGATCTTCGTTCTGAGTGTTACGATATCCCTGTTCAGAGTAGGGCCGTAGAGCGAAAAYCGGGGGCGGGTATGATTGAAGTGAATTATTGGTAAAAACAATCTACAAAAGTTTATTGGCTGAGCACGGAKCCACCTGACAACTTCTTCACTAGTTTCGGTGCTAGTAGAGAGTAAACAAGCTCTCACGGTCTTTCAAATTCCAAGTCTTTTAAGGATGACTAGTTGCATATTGGGAGCTTTCATCTCTACTTAATGCTTGTTCAAATTTTTTCATGCTTGAACATTTATATTATCCATCAACTGGTGGGATCTGCACATTGTACGTCGCCTCAAAAAGTAAATTTTTATAAGTGAGATTGTCGATAAAAGAGATAAACGATAATATCGTCTGCCAAGGTTCTTCCGTTATATAGAAAATTTTTCTTTTGATGKTAGAAAACAGTTTTTTCAAATTCTCTTCCGCACATGACAGCACTATATTCGGATCATCTTGTTGTTGTTGGTGTTGTAACGGCAGAAATTCTGCCGAGTTGACAGTCCTTGGCCAGATAAAAATCCGGGTCCGTTCCGGTTTTCGTAGAATCGACTGTCGTGGGAACGACATCTCTACATACTTTATCGTCTCCATTTTACATTCAATCCGATTACCACCGAAACCAGATACACTTGGAATCGAACCCAGCTCGYTTTTGCCACTACAGGTACATACTTTCTATCATGTGGATCAACTCTATTTATTTTTCTTTCATTGCTGAATAAAATACAAAACCGCTGAGGGTCTTYCATACCAGTCGAAGGTGCCCCCACCTAATCGAGATGCAACTTTTTTTCCTTATGTAGTGGAACAGAAATTTTTCGATCGATGATTATTTGTTGACAACCTAACGTCCTATCAACACGGTCTATTGCAACTCGGTTTTCGAAGGGTTTGTGTCCCCTTTGACATTTTATAATCGTTTTCAATAAAGGAAATTGCAWTAAGGAATATTAAATTTGCTTTGTTTATTAATTTGGATACAATTTTTAAAACCGAGTTGTTCTTAAGTAAATTTCTCACTAAAATATCAATGCTATATGTATCAATATTTCAGAGATAATGAAAGAGCATGCAAGAGCAAAAATGACCGTTATGACACTGTACTCTTTAAAAGATACGCAACTACACGCATACTTATGTATATGATTTATGGTCGGAACAGACAATATCGGACTACTATAGCATATATGTACATAGCACTTTACAAACTGACCGAACAAAATTTGGTTCTTGAATTTTAATAATAATAATTGTTTTTAATAATTTCAATTCATCCTAATGTAGTAAACGAGACAATAACTTGGCTGGAGAATTGGCATATGGATATGCCTGCATTTATGTACATATAAATGTGAATTCTTAAAACATTTCTCATATTTGTCTGATTATTTTTCATACTTCGAGGAAAATTAAATTCATTTCTTAAATAACACTAAAAATAAATTTAATTAAACCAGTTATAATTAAATTAGCAACTCATTTATAAAATAGCCTATTTGTATACAATAAACATAGCGCCCAACGTGTTAATTTGTGTATCTTGTAGATACTTTTCCACAAGTCTACGAACACCCAACTGCGACAACACGACACAGCACACACGCTAAATGCCAATGTAATTCCAGCGAGCAACACTAGCTATTTCACTTACACCACCGACATCGTTACGAGGAAAATACATAAATATCTCATGCTGGAGCTGTTGCCGCTTTCCAGGAAGAAGAGTGTATCCACAAGTGTGCAAATTATTGTTGATTAAAAACGTACACGGGCAGTGGGAACCGAAGTGCATCGCTGTCGTTCTGAACKGGCGCTGATCTGAGCAGAGGCAAGAAAATCTCAGTTGTTTCGGAAAATTGAAAGCGTTCGCTAGTGTTTAGAGCGCAAAGTGTGCGGTTTTGTGCGAAAGAAAGGTTTTGCCGAATTTTAACGGGGACGTAGACGAAGACGACGTCGTCGGTGGTAAACAGTGAACGCCATTGCATGTGTGAAGCGGCGTCGGTGCAATATAAGCAATAGTAACAATAAGAATAAATTAAAAGAAGTATACATGTATGTACATGTGCATTAGTGAGGAGCAAGAGCTGTAGCGGACATACACAATTCGATAAACGCATGCATATACGTACATATGTCTGTATGCTTGTGTCTCTCGTTGGTCGCGACGGTTTGTGTGCGTGCGTCCAAACATTTTTTTCGTGTTGATTTTTATTAGGATTCATTTCGTCGAATTTCTGCATGAGATTTCTCTTTAAAGCAATTGATTAAATGTGATTTGTCGCCAGACAAAAGTTTTGAAAATAAAGTACCTGGCTAGAACGTATGCGAATTTTGTGTTTTGGATACAACAGCTTTACCAATCACATGCAATAGTTGGCACCAGCTGGAGCTGCATTTTTTGTGTATAATTAAATGGATGTGCCAAGCAGGATTCTGGGGAAAAACATATGTATATTTTCTTAATAGAAAGTTRTGACAAGTATCCAAAACTTGAATTTGTGTTGAAAATGCAGCAAATGATTGTGAAATCGTACGCAACTTGAAGCAGCCGGAGTGCCGAAAATTGTATTAAAAAAGAGTAAATGATAATTAAGTGTATTACAGTGAATAAGAATTCTTCCAAATTAATAATGCTGAGATAAAATATTTCAAGCAGAATCAAAAGAAATAAAGGAACGAAAAGCCTCACAAATATCCTGATTAGATTTTGGTAATAAACAACACGAAGAATACCTAATTGTGCAAACTGTCGAGAAGTGAGTGTAAAAACATTTTCTCAGCTTATACCAATTTGTTTTCATCTTAGTTTTACTCTTTCCATTATTCAGCTGGTTGGGGGCCTTCAAACATAACGCTGAGACATGCGCATAGATAGGCAATTGCCATAAAAGTAAATAAAAATAAAAAAACTACATTCAAGTGCCGCGGCATTAACAATAATTAGCACAACAATGTTTGAAGAAATTTCTTAAATGAGAAACATCTTCACAGCGATCTGCACATACATATTCAAAGTTATAACATTTTAAATAATCTCTTATATGTAATTAAATGTAAACTTTTATTGACTTCCTTTGCTAATTCCCCGAAAATCTGTGTTTATTTCTTGTTCCTGTGGTATATGTATATGTTTTAAATCAGGCAAAAACATGGTTACATGCGTTTGCATGTATGTTGTACATTCGTGTGCTTCTGTTGTATATTCGTCGTATCGACTTCGTCCGCAGTCAACAGTCGTTCGGTGCTGCATTGTTRTGTTCTGCAACTTCGCCATTGCGATAACAGAGTCTGTTAACGCTGCAGCAATGCACATTTGCACTGYAATCTGCTCTGACAGCAGCGCTTTCAGTTGTGACTTTGACGTTGGCGTCGCAGAAGTTACTGTTATTTAATAGAGAACGCATTAAGCGTATACGTTTTATTATAATATGACATTATAATATATTTATAAAAAAATGTGTAGTTAAATCCAACTTCGTACAACATTTTATTCTGATCAAACATTGTTACATTTGTTTGTTGYAGCGCTGCTTGGCTGTTGCTGGAACTCCGTTTGTATTTGATAAATATTAGCTCTCACTGACGACAGATGTGAACTCATATTTGCGCTATCAGCTAATGTGCGCTCTTTCTCTCTCACAGTATTCCCTCCTTTAYGCCTCTCTTGCTTTTTTTGGTACCATGGATATTTTATCTGCGAATGAAAAAGACAGCTCCTCAATTTTATATTTATTGGTGTTGTTTTGTTGTGAATTAGATTGGAAAATGGAAAATAAAATGTTTGTTATTTGTTATGAATACTCATTACAATTTATTCGCTTTTATTTGGCAACCCTTCGCCAGTAAGTTGATTAGCCTCACCACTGACAGCAGTAGCAATGAATGGGGGTTCTCGTTGATTAAGCCAGATGTTTTGTTGTTGAACGTTGATGCAGTAGCATTCAAGATAAGCAAATATTAGAATGTGTRGTATTAATATAAAAAATGTTTATATAGTAGGTATGTAGTCATTTGAAGTTTTCACAKCTAGATTTCRTATTTATAAATAGGAAGTRATGTTGGATATGTAYRTATGTRCATATGTATGTATGTATTTTTGAACATTTCTGATACATATGCGATGCATACATATGTAATGTATTTATGTATCCYTAGCAGCAAAGATGATTGTACATAATCATGTAAATACTCCTTATGAGAACTAATTGGAAACACCGACAAAGAATTGGTTAATATAAAATATATGGTAAACACATATACAGTAATCGCGAATTAGTGCTTCGCAATAGGTCCAAAAGAGACCATATAAAGAGATGCTTCCATATTTGGATATTCTGCATTGGTTTTTTTTTTTATAAAAAATGGATGCTCTATTTGACTAAAATCTAGGTCTAACACTCTTTCTTTGAACACCTTTGTCAAGATTTTCCAAGGTTCGGACTTTTGTTTCTAAGAACAAAGTATTTTACTTACATTTATTTAACATTTTAGCGATATTCCTTTTTACTTTTAAACAGATACTGCCAAAATATGTACTTGGGGTTGGGGTTGAGGATACRCACATATGTATGYATGTATGTAAGTATGTATATAAGGGCGATGAAAAAATACTGAATAACGGAAAACCTAAATAAATTGGTAATTTCCCTCTAAATTTTTTGCACAAGTAAAATARTAACTCATTGACGATACTGACAAACAATATGATCAGAA